TACAATAAAAATTTTACCCACAATAGCTTTGTAAAGCCATTTTTACATAAATCCTTGCATCTGCTTTTGCAGCAGGACTTGATATTTATGCAATATATATGTTTATGGAATATAGGTGAGATAACATTGAATTGGAGGTTTTAGATTAGACACCTGGCCTTTAGCTGAATACTTAATGATACTGGGACCATGAAATTTGCAGGTATGCATCCGAGTACACAGCACACATCTGCAGCAGGTGATGCCAATTTAAATACCTACAGTAAGGGCACACAGTTAAGCTGTCTGTGACTAATCTAGGGTTTCATTGTTCAGTTGGAAGCCCTGTAAGTAAAGATAGCCTATTTCATAAATGAAATCTTCAGAAGCTTCTCTACTTGTTTTGGCAATTATCTAATAGATGGCAAGGTACCAGTTCTGTTTGTCATCAGTCCGTGGTTCCTTCAAACTCAAAGCAATTCTAATGTTACATAAAAGACAACACAGGAATTTAAATAATTTAAATTCCCAGATCTACCTGGAGAGGCACTAAAATTTGTGTGTGCTTAATAATGTGGGGTTTGGGGGGTTTGGGTAAAAAAACAAACAAACAAACAAAAAAACAACCAGAGAAAGAGGGAAACTATTTTTATGCCTTGTCAAAGTTTGAGACCTGAAGAGATTTCTGTCTTGCTGTACTGACATCATGGCACTGCTGATGAAGCACAGGGCTCTCTGACTGATGCTGACTGCCCTCATTATCCCTGGTCCTGCAAGGCACACAGGCAAATTGGTGCTGCTCCAGCTAGGACTGGGAGGACACAGATTGCAGAAGCAGGAGGGCACACAGTCCTGTAAAGGGCTCTGGTTTAAAGCGTGGCACAAGTGAAACAAAAAGCATCCAAGGACAACAAACTGAAAACACCCATCTGCTTTCCTCCCCATCTCCAATTACAGAAGTTTTTGCTCCAGTTTATTTCTCTTTGGAAACAACTTTTTACAGCTGCACATGGCAAGTACTTAGCTAGTAAGCAAAGAGGAGAAGCTGGAAAGAATGATTATTAATGCATTCTGCCAAAAAAATAGTCAGGGCAAAGTCACAGCTCAGGACACAAACTAGTCAATCTCCCCCCACACAAAGACAAAGGCATGTCCTGAACTGCCTTCCTGAGAGGGAAAACAGCACAGCTGCCTTGCCTGCTGCAGCTACCCGGGCTGGAAACACACAGCATCCCTCCACTTGATACTTAGGAAGCTGGTTCAGTCAACACATGTCAAAAGAGAGTGTTTCCAAAGTCATGGTGAGTAAAAGCCAAGAGGTTCCACTCAGTTATCTGCATTTTATTTTAAATATTTATATCTCTGTTTTATATGACCTTCCACAACAAAACATTTCCATGAAGCAAGAGTAGCCAAAGGCACTGTGCTACATGGGTGCCTGTCCTGGAGGGCATGGGTTTACCAGGGGGCTCAGGCCACTGTAGTGACAGCCCATGTGGGGCCACAGCTGGTGACTGCACAGCTCAGGCCCAGGCAGAGGTGCCAGGAAGGTCAATATTCCAAGAGGGACCAATGCACCTCTTGCCTGAACCCAGCAGGAGCCACAAGCCATTGCCTGAGGAGAGACAAGGGGCCTCACCCAGCTGCTCCAGGGTCAGCAGTGCCTCCTGGCTCTTGCCAGTGTTTTGGAAGTGGTGCCCAGCCAGCATGGCACCATGAGGTGCTCTGAGGCAGCCTGCCACAAAGGCAGCACCTCACAGGTGGCACAGGAACTCACTGGGACCCAGGGAACAGCCAGATTTGGAGGTTATTGGCCTCCACCCAAGATATCAAGTCTAGCTGAGCTCCTGCTGGTATTCCAAGTGCAGGTTTATTGCATGAAAGTAGTAATTTCATGTAGTTCAAGCTAAAAAAAAAAGTATGTGGGACATACCAGTGCCATGAAAACATACCCACAAAACCAAAAGCAGCCACACACAATCATTCAGCACTTGCATTTCCTCTTCAGAACATTCAACAAATGCTCTTACTCCAAAGAACAGCTGTAATTTGTCCTTGCTAGTGCCAGTCTACCAGCAGTTCAGAAGAGAAAAGAAACTGGTACCTGCAGGCTTTAGTGCTCAGTGCAGGTGCCCTGAAACAGCAAGTACTGGAGGGTGGCAACCCATTTCCCCTTATCTGTAACAAGAGTGGCTGTCACAGTTGCTGAACCCCAGCTAAAGTTATCATCACATCTGCTGAATCCTGTAAATATGGCCAAAACTCTGATCAAACTGGTTGAATGATTTGGTTAGCTTGCAGGGGTAAAACCAAACTTTAAGTAAATTTGAAAGCTAAATTTAGCAGATGGCAGACTGACCTGTAAGTACTAACATCTTTGCTTTCAAAACCAGAATTTGTCATTAGATGGAGAGTTAAGACCTACTTCAAATCTGAGGCCACAACCTTCCAAATAAAAAGCCATTTTTTTTCCTAAACTCAGAGAGCTGTAGTATCTGGACCAAACTCACAGCTGAAAGGAAACTTTGGATTGGTTTTATGAGGTCCTAAGACATCATTACTCTCATGAAGTCTACTTTCTCTTTTAAACTGCAGTCCTGATGACCAGCAGTCCTGAGAAATGATGGTGCAGGGATCATTGTTTTCTTCCACATGTGCCAAGGCCCTTGTGAGCAGGCAGGCTCACAGGAGGCTGGGTCACAGGGAGAGCCAGCCCAGGCATCACCACTCAGAGAAAAAGCCCTGCTCCTGCACAGAGAGGGTACAGCAGCACCAGGGCTGCTGCGTGAACAGAGCCTCAGCTCCGCAGCCAAACACTTCTTCAGGTGAGCATTGATCCACCAGAACTTGCTATTAGGGAATGCTGCTCAACACAGCCAGCATGAATTTGAAGTTTGCCATTAGTACCAGACTTCTGAGATCTGTAATGTTAATGAGCAGTTTTCTGTTCACCTGAGAAGGCACCAGGGCCTGCCTTTCCAGGTCCCCCTCATAGGCAGGAGCACACCTGGTCATTACCCTGCCAGCTGCTAACAACAACTCAATACCTTCCCACAATGTGCAGACTATAATGCACTCATTTTATCTGTTTACTTCCAAGAGAAAGACCTCCTCAGGAAACTCAGAAACAGCATTTTTCATTCCCTCCCTGAAAAGTGGAGTATGAAATACACTGTACCATCCATATGGAAATGTTTATTCCTTTAAAATAACTATTTAGCTTTCATCAATAACCAGAAAAATTCAAAGTCACTGTCAACAAGGAGACTGAAACACAGAACAACAGACAGCAGGGCTGGAAGAGGGCATCTACCCTTCCTTCCCCTGAGTCACCATAGATTATATCATTCCTGGCAGTAGTCAACTCTTTTTTCTCTAAAAATCTCCACTGATGGAAAGTCTGCAATATCCCTGTCATCTATCTTGTTATCCTATCAGCCAATTAAGCTTTTCCCAGTACTTTATTCAGACCTCTGTTTGCTGTGATTTCATTTACTATTTTTCACACTATTTACAAGTGATGCATAAAAGAATTCATTCCTTTCTTCTTCATGGTTATTTGAAAACTGGCTACATGTCTCTTTGAACTTCTCCTCTTTAGGCTAAGCAATCATATTTCCTCCAGTCTTTCCTCACAGGTGGTATTTGTGCTGTCATTATTTCTGCTGTTTCTGGGACCTTCCACAATCCCATATCATGTGTGAAATGGCTGAGAGTGACAATGTATCATCTTTATCTCAGTATTGCATTGTAAGTTTATAAATGCCAGTTTATAAATACTCATATCTTCCTCACCCTGCTTGTCTCCCTTCTTTGAACAGCCCATCCCCTCCTACCCAAACAGGGAGGTTTGACTACTGACCACACAGTGGTACCATCTTTTTCAGTCCTGTGGAATAATTCTCCAAATAACAGCCTTTGCACCAACCCTCATCCAGCAGCAGACCATGCCTGGTAAGAGCTGTGGATCCCCAAATGAAGTGAGATATTTGTCTGTTCCTGGGGCTAGCTCTTCCCTCTCACATCTTCCAAGCCTAGCACACAGATTTCTCCAGACTGCGATTTCCAAAGCAAGTGCACAGCTGAAACTATACCAAAGCATCGACCCACTCAGACCAGCTATAGACTTATCTAGAAGAAACCCTGAGTGGTTCTGTGCTCATGTCTACAGAGAACCAACATCCCAAACCACTCTGGGACCCTCCCAGCATCAGTTTCTACATGGCCCAGTAATCATAAGGAAGCCACCAGTTGGGGTTTACAACACAGAGCATCTGAGATAGGAAATACTTGATCTGCTGGACTGCACCAGCTCCAGATCAGCACACTGCAGCCTATCGACAGCCCATGCTTTCTGATGGACCCTCTGCTGCAATGAGAAGAAAATTAAACCAAAAATTAAATTAAAAATTAATTAAACTAAATTTTTTTTTAGAAGTAAACACACTGTTCTTTCTTACTAACCATGTGTTTCAGTGAGCCTTTTCATACTGTACCTGTTCATTAGCACCAAACTGTAAACGTTGCAGGCTTCATTCACTGTGCAGGTTTCAAGTGTCATGTCACCTGCTCTAATTCATGACAACTACAATTCATTGTGCCAGGTAATATCATACCTTAGGTCTCCTGACCTAGCTGCTAAGCCTTAAACCCCTTCATTGTAAGCCTTGTACTACTAGAATGGAAAAAAAAACACAAAAAAACCAAAATAACTCACTTCACATGTTAAAATCTTATGGATTTGGCAGAAAATCTGATGTGACCTAAGGCACTTAAATCTGATATTAGGAAAGGTGTGGCACATCAGAGCATGCCTGTAAACTGGCACTGCCATTAATCCTGCCCTGGAGAAGAATGACTCCTGTACTGTCACACTGAAGCCTAAGACATGAGATAGCTCTGTAGCTTCCAACTCTTACAGGCCAGGAATGACACACAGCAGAGGAGCTTCCTGTGCTGCTGCTCACACCACAACTCCCATCCACTCCCAGCCCTCAGTGCAAACCCCACAGGCTCTGTACCTGGTCACCAGCAGGAGATGCTTGCATAGAATGGGAGGTCTGGTCAATTCAGTCCAGAATACACTTTCTGAAGTTAGTTAAAAGGCAATAACATTTCCCAGGTTGCACAATCCTGCAAGGAAGAAAGGAAAAGAACTATTAATTGTGAACCATTGGGGATCACAGAGCCTGAGCATGTGTCCATTATGTATTTCCTTGAATAAGCAGGAATTCTGCATGAGAAAGTGGAAGCATACTGTGAAGAACAGCCCCCCTCCTTCTAAAGAGGAATCAGAACAGGAAAACACACTGGCTGGGTTCTCCTTACTGCTCACTGAGGCCAGAGGACCCAGTTTATTCTCAAACAAATTTAAGATCATTCTTCCAACTTCACCATTGCATACATAGTAAAAGCCATTATAAACGGTGGAAGGAAAACAGGCATAAAAAGCCATGGATGGGATGGTAAGACTAATAGAGTTATCCACTACAACAGCTGCTCCTACTAAGAGACATGGTTCAACAACTAGCTTTGTAATTAGGAGGTTTCTGTAGTTTAGGCTAGAGAAAAACACGTGCAAAAGCTGAAACAAATGTGGGGGGGAAGAAAAGGAGAGGCAACAGCCTGGAAGATGTGACAGATGTGCTGCAAATAACACCCCCACACAAAATACACTTGACCATTTTATGTATTCAGTAATAGAAACAACAAAATAAAATCTTTAAAAATCAGTAATTTTAAAATAAAATGTAAGCATAGTAGCCTTTCAGCATTTTACAGATTTACTTCTATTTAGAAATCAGTCTCAAGAGCCCAGTCCCCCACAGCCACACAACCTTGGCATACACTACGTGGCAAAATGAAACCCACGAGGGGATTCTGCTGTAAACTCTCTGAAGTTGGCCTATGCAGGACTGGCTTGCAGTAGCTGGTGTTGCACATCTTAACTCCTACTTTTTCCCTTGTAAGAGTAGAAAAACCCTGTGCTATGGATCCAAGTGCACAGTGGACACAAGTTCAACAGTGCAACACAGCCACGTAGATTTTGGGGAGTAAAACCGGACAGTGATTAAGGTGACATTCAGTGGTTTCTTCTATTTATTTGCAGAATTAAAGATTCTTTAATGAGGCTTTAATCTAAACTTGAAGCTTCCTCAAATCAAACTTCTATATTAGCATTGCTGAAGGGAAAGGAAAAACAAAAAACAAACAAACAAAAAAATACACAGAAAAATTAATTTTTCTTCCATAGATAATAAATGTACAGACACATGTACACCGTCTCTCTTCCTCCTGAAGTGCAGCTGAAGAGTAGCCTCTGCTTCCTAAGCACAGAATTTGTCCCCATCTGGTTCCATTTTTTATTATGTTCTCTTTTTTGTTTCCTTCTCTCTCATTCCAATGCAATTTTAATTCATTTTGTTTAGTCTGTACTTTTTATTCCCTTTCCTCTTTTTGCAGATTTCCTTTTTAATTTGTTAGAGGAAGAAACATTCTTTCCCTGGATTTCATAACACAAGCTGCTGGAAAAGGCCCATTCAGAAATCCCCCCTCTTGAACAACTCTCCTGCTCTTTCAATCCTGTTATCCAAATATGTTCACTCCTGGTAGCAGAGTAGAAGTGTTAGGGTTTATTTATTTAGGAATGTGTATCAGTTTATTTTTTAATTCCATTTCAAATACCTGGCACAAGCCACTGCATGGAGGCTCAAATATATTATTTACGAGCCATTACATTTAGCTTAAAACAACTCCTAATCTATCTGAGATGAGTCGCTATAAGAGAGGATTAGGCTGAAATGAAAATGTCTGCAGTGGGATTTTACTAAATTGCTTTTAAATCACATTCCCAGTTAAACAGTGCTCCAGTGAAGACTATAAACCCTAATACATCAGAAAGGCTGATTTGGGGCAGAACTTTGGCTTTCTCAAAACTTGCTGGTTTTACAGAAGCAGAGGAGCCCAGCTAAGGCCAAAGCCTTCTCTGCATATAAAACCCCAAAGGCTGAAATACGAGAGCAAAGCTCTGCAAGGCTGAGCCCCAGAGCTGTTTAACTGCCCAGGAACAGGCCCTGCTATTCCCAGCTTGCCAAGGCCCTCCATGCCCTGCAGCAGGGCCAGGTGCAGCATCCAGCTCCACGTGCCGGAGTGGCCTGGCCTGAGCCACTGCCTTCATCTTAGACAGGTGTTTCTGCACTGACACCAGGATGAGTGCTCCAGGTGGTATGAGGAGGGTGAGAGAGCTGTGAAACTCACTCTGATTTTCTACATGACCAGAAAAACATTTCTTAAAACATTTGGGAAGAAGCATGGGCAGCTTTAAGACTTCCTGCCCAGTGCTCAGATCTCTGATTTTAATGCCTGGCATGGCCTTGTTACAGCACTGTCATCCCCAGCCGCTGCATTTCCTGTGAGATTGCTGCCCCCACCCCTGCCAAGCCCCTCTGCCTCTCAAGCTGTGACCCAAGGTGCAGAGTGAGCAGCTTGGCCTCCAGCCACCATTGCTGGAGCTGGCAGTGCAGCTGTCACCTCCTCCTCCTCCCCATGCTCTCCCAGCACCATGTGGGATTTCATTTCCACACTGGGATTTCCTTTTAGTTCAGATTCTGTGCACTTACTACTGTATTACACATTTTATCATCCTGAAGGTTGTTTTCTTTGTAACTTTCAGTCCAACTTTGCATTTAAGATTTGTAATTAATCACAATTGCCCAGTAATTTAAAAGTAACAAACCTATATTTTTGCTAGAGTACAAAACCTACATCCCATTAAAGAGTCTCCCTCTGAGAGCTCCCAAATTCTCCAGCACCAACTCAGATTAATTTAACTCCTGATGCAATGTGTTCCCAAGTTGAAACCCTCCAGCACAGAAAAGTCATGATGCAATTTCTCAACAGAAATCATCAGGAATGAAAGAACACCTTAACAAGAAACTATGCCAGTAAAATCAAAGAGAAGAGCTACATACTTGGTACAGCCAAAACAAACTAAAAGAAGTTTTCACTACAGTCAGTGATTTTAACCTCTGCTTGGAAAAGTGCTTTCTGCTATTTATTAACACTAAACACGTCTATTAAAAATCCAGACCTTTAACTTATTTTATGGAAATCTTAACAAGATGGAAAAGATTTCATCCACACTTCTAACGTGACTCAGGCCCCACTGCTGTTGTACTGCAAGGCGGCTCCAAGCTTTGCACAAACCAAGCTAACCCACAGATGAGCTTCCTATTTCTGTGCTGTAGAGTTCTGCTCTGAAATCCCACACTGCTTACTGCCCGCTAGCACAACTGCCACACAGAGCACTCCTCATGCACTGCTGCCAAAAATCAGAGAAAATACACCTGCAGAACCCCGGCAGGACAGCTAAAGAGATGTTTTAAGAGCACTAACCTGTGCTATTTGAATCTGTTGGAGGTCACCCAGCTCTGAACTTCCCCAGCAGCTCCAGGCTCGTTTCCTGTGAGGAGCATGTGACACACACTTCCTCACCGCACCTTGCTAGACTCACTGCGCTCACATTTTAACATCAGATTAAACAACTAACTGTCCCTCACAACATGTAAAGAAATTTCTGATCTAATGCTGAGCCACTGACATTTCTGCATAGCCAAAAAGCCCTCCTCTACTGCCTTCTGAGTCACTCCATGATTCAATGGACCTTTTTGTACTGTATATTAATACCAAATGCTGAATGCGATTCTGCCACAGTATACTCAGTGTGCCTCCCCCCAGCTTTTAAAGGGGAAACAAATGCAGTAGTGGAGAATGCAATTACACTGCAGGCGTGGGAAATTCAGTTCAAGGCTATTTGTTTATCAAATGTTCAGAGTGGTAGTGAATTGATGAATTCAAACGGATGCAGTCATCAGCAATTTTCAGAAATACTTTCATTTGAATACAGTAAACAGAAGTTTGTGTCCTATGAAAAGTAGTTTATGCCTTTAGAAGAGTAGAGATTTTCTTAGTGTGCATCCACATATTGTTATCTTAGCATTGGGCAAATAGGTCTGAACATATGTCACAAAAGGAAGGACAGTAAAGTACTGTATTAGAGCACTGTGTTTACAGGACTAGTCAATAGGTGGTGCTTTATCAGAATTTTATTTTTAAAGACACAAATTTTGGAAAGGCAATCTAACCCTGAGTGCACCACCAGGTGCACTGTCACAGTCTGGAGGTCAAGTCTGAAGATTACCAGGTCACAGTAGAGGCAGAATGGTCACACCAGATTCAGCAAGGAGATACTGCTCTGCTGAAGATGCTCCTTGTGGAAAACACTAAACACTTGTCAATCAAGCTAATGGAGGGGTGAAGATAAATGTGGCATTCCTTTATTTAGGAATAAAGGAATGCAAGCTGAAATAACAACAGACAATGCCAGGGGGACTGATCAGCCTGGCAAGGCCTGTGTGAAAGCAGTGGGTTACAGACCCACAGGGGTTTCCTTACAGACTGACTGAAAGGATCTTTGCTGGGGCACAGATTTGCTTTAGCTGTACCTAAGTGTGAATGTGAAAACCTCGAAGGTAGGAAGAAAGTGAAGAGACAGTGATGCTGCAAATTTGGGATGCAAATCTTTTGGCAGCAACACTCAGTCGTGGCTGTCCTGCATCCACCATTCAGTTCTCCCACTGCACCCCACAGCTGCCTCAAGTGTGCTGGCACAGTGGTTCCACAGCCTGTGCCCTGGACCACACTGAGGAGCTGATCTGGTGGTCAAAAGCTCACAAGATTTCTTTCCCCCCTTCTCTCACTTCCAGGCAAAACCAGACAAGTGCTAGTAGGAGGCTGGCTGTGCCACTACCCAGGCTGTCACACAAAACCATGGCTACAGTGAGAGACCCAGAGCAAGCCAATCAGAGCTGCTTCTTTGCCCATGGGTAGATGAATTCTCTGCAATTTCTACATAAATTAAGAGGTTTCCACTAAAATGTCATCTTTATAATTAAACTGTGCCAGATGAAGACATCAATGTTGTGAGCAGCCTCCTGGTGACCACCAGCCAGGGATTACATTCCCATCTGCTGCCTCAGGGCTTCTTACCACCTCTCACAAGTTCATTACTATCAAATGAGCCAAACTAGCTCCAGTAATTTATAACAGTGGGTTAAAATAATTGGCAATGGAGT